AGGGGAAACCCCGTGCAAAAAGGGGTCCTCGTTTTATGTGAAGCTGGAGCGTTGGAGGGGCAACAAATTGTTGGAGGAAGACTTTAAAGATTGGGGGTGGAGCGTTGGGGGGCCGTGGGTACACCAGGAGGTTCATCTGAGGTGATATTTTTGTAAGTGGGGGGTTCTGGAAACAAATTCGGCACAAAATAGACGAGGTCTTACCCCCCGGGGGAGAGGCCGGGGAAGAAGTCTGGGCAGCGGTTTTTGGGGGCCGAGCCCAATAGTGGTAAGGGGTTTCCTGAGTTGCAAAGTGGAAAGGGAGGGGGGGGGTGACTGCACGGAAACCGAGGGCAAAGGAACACAATATGAAAAGGCAGTGGGTAAATCCCAGAGGCATAGGGGAAAGCCGCCCCCTTTTGTAATTTTTAGATGTTCACGCTTAATGTTAATGGACTTAAAACTAGGTCAGAAAGTTTGGTTGGAGGGGTTTTTTTTAAGGGGGTTTTGATGTTGACATAGTTTTTTTTCAAGAGCATAATCACAGGGGTGGTTGTGTGTTTGGGGGAAAGGGGTACGGAGTATGTAACCAAAGGGGTTTGCAATTTAAAAGGGGGGGTACATGGGGGTAAGGAGACCAGGGCCCCTTGCGGGATCGGTTGGGAAAAAAAGGGGGGGGGGGGGACGTGAGGGGGGATGGAGTCTGGGGAGAGGGCAAGCTAGTTTCGTAGGGGTTTAACCCAACTAGCAATATAGGGTAAAAGTAGATTTTGTCAAGAGGGTATTGCTTTTATCACTTTAAGGTTTGCCTGCTTAACATAATAGGAGGTGATTGGGAATTGTGTGATTTAGGAGTGGGGATGTTTAACCGAGAGGGGGGGGTTGTGTGCTGAGTGTGCTGAGGGATGTATTGAAAGATATTGGGGTTGTTGATGTGGGGGGAGGGGGGGGATACCCAGTGGAGCATACGTTCTTTCCGTAGGGGATATGAAGCCGATTGGACAGAATTTATATTAAGCAGGGTATAGATGTTGTGAGGGTGCAAAACCTTCGATGTGGGGTTTTCGGATCACAGGGCGGTAATTGCAGATTTGATGTGGGATGGAGTGGTGTGTATTTATTCGGGGTACTGGAAATTAAATGTAAGGCTTCTTAAGGAGGAGGGGGAGGGACCTTTTTTCGTGTTTGGGTTTGGTTGCCTTTCTGGGAGGCTAGGGACAGGGAGATAGATCTGTTAGATTGGTGGGAAATGCAGGCAAAACCTGGAATAGCGAATTTTTTTAAGGTTAGGGACGAGAAGAGGCGAGGTGGCGTTTTGGGTTGAAAAATTATCTGGAGGGACAGTTGCAAGATTGTTATGTTGGGGGAGGTGGTAGGAGGGATGATATGGACAGTTTTGAGAGTAGAATCACTGAATTACCCCAATGTAGGTTTGATGGCAATTAGGGTTGGGCGGGGTTAGGGGATGTTTTGTGGGTGTTGAAAAGCCGTCTGGGTTTGTTTTACGTAAATTTAGGGACCGACAGAGTGTAACAACCATTCTACAATTGGAGACAAGCCCTGGGGTGGGAGGGTATCCAGAGGGTCGAGTCCTATCCAATACGGAAAGTATGAGGTTCTATGCAGATAGTTGGTTTAGGGAGAAATGGGGTTGGAGGGGAGGGGGGTTCCTGGTGGGTATTTTTGAAGGGGGGTTCCATAGCGTTTTTAAGTGAGCGGATAGAGTGGGGTTGGAGGTTGGTATAAGTGAGGTTGAGGTGGAAGAGGCAGTTTTCGGGATGAGTACCGGGAAAACACCAGGGATAGACGGTATACCAAATGATTTTTATAGAGCACATTGGGGGTGTATTAGGCAGTGCTTTGTTAGGCTATTGGACCATATGTTAACTAGTGGGAAGTTGGACACATCGCAAAGTACGGGTGTCATAGTTTCAGTGCCAAAGAAGATGGGGGGGTAGAGAGTTGAGTGCTTACCGTGCAATATCTTTGATGTGCGCGGATTACAAAGGTTTTTGGGGAAAATTTTGGGTAATAGACTGAAGAAGGTCATGGGGTCGGTGATACATGGGGGACAGTTTGGTATCCCGGGGAGGAGTATGCGGGTAGGTCATGGACGTATTCGGGATTTCCTTGAGGGTAGTAATAAGGGAGGTATTCTAGGTCTGGATTGGGAGAAAGCTTATGATTATGTGGATAGGGAATTTTTGATTGAAAGTATGGTGAGAATGGGTTTTGGGGAGGGAGGGTGGTTGGATGGGTGAGGACTTTGTATGAGAATGCATCAATGAGAGTACAGGTAAATGGTAGGTTGGGTAGTTCTGTAAGCATGGGGAGGGGTTTAAGGCAGGGGTGTCCACTCTCCCAAATACTCTTTGCATGTATGCAGAATCCTTTCTATGTTCTGGTTGTGGGGGGATGGGAAGGATGGGGGAGTGAGAGGAATTTTGGGGGAAATATTGTTGGTTATGTGATGATACTACTGTTTTACTTAATGGATAGAAGTTTTTAAGTAAAGTGGAAAGGGTTAATTGAGATTTTTGGGAATGCTACTGGGATGAGAGTTAATAAGCAGAAATCACGGTTGCTGGAGGTAGGCGCTTGGGTGGGAGGGCCCTTTGGGGGGAGGAGTTTTGGTTGGATAACTGTAGATAGGCTAAAGATTTGTGGGATTTTGTATTTGGCAGATGCACAGGAGAGCAGGAGGGTTAATTCAGAAATGGTAATGGACAGAGCTTTGAGTAGGCTCAGGAGTCTAAGGGCCGGGATGTAACCTTGCATCAAAGGGTTGGGTGGTAAATACGCTGATTTTAGTAAGGTGTGGGGAGTGGCGGAAAATTTACCCATTACGAAGTCAGGATATTATGGAATTACAAAGAAGAGTCTTAAGGTATGTGTGGGGTTATGGGAGGGCGGGGTTTGGGGCAAAGATGGGGTTTAATGACTGCGGTAAGACAGGAGGATTGGGATTGATGGCATTAGGGTCTAGGTGAAGGCGCTATGTGAAGCAGAGGTTATTCGGCAGCGGGGGAAAGGGGGTTTTTTGGGTGGGGGTGGTGAATGGGAGATATCCGCAAATGGTGGGGTGGCAGGGACTTAGTGGAGTGTGAAGATATGTGCGGTTTATGTTAAAGGTATGCAAATGTTAAAAATCTCAAAGGGAAAACGGTTAGTGGGTGTGGGTCGTCGTCAGGAATCAATGCAAGGGGTGGCAGTGTATCCCACATATGATTGGAGAGTGATATGGGTGGAATTTAGTAAATTAAGAATACCGGCAAGAGCGAGGGAATTAGTATATAGATTTCTTATGGGGACGTTAGCATCGAAAGAGGTGCTAGACGAATGGGGGTTTTTTGAGAGAGGCATCATGCGGTTTTTGTGGGGGAAGTTGAAACGGCTTTTCATGTAGTATATTTTTGTTCTGCTTGGAGGGGGTAAGATTGTGGTTTGAAGAGGGTTTTCTTTTTATTGGGGGGGGACAGATATCACCCCTTAGGGCTTTAATGTTAGATATGGGAGGGGTACCCAAAGAGGTGGGGAGGGCTATCAGATACGTAATAGTTGATTATTTGTATGTTTCCTTTGGGGGGTGAGGGAGGTGGAGGGAAACATTAGGATTTAAAAACGTTGGCGGCGGGGTTTTTATAGGACAGCATGTAGGAACAAACAATTATATGGGGGAAGGTGGGTAATTAGTTTTCCGGAGGGATATCGTGGACTTACTGTTGAACGTCTACTCCGTTTGGTGACGGGGTGAGAGGCAAGGGGTTGGTCTCTTCAGTGGGGTGTCCTCTTTTGGAGTGATTGGAAGCCTGATGAGGAAAGGTTGATTGGTTTGCCAAAGGGGGTTTGGGTGTGGGTAAAGTTTTTTTGCAGGGAGCCGTCGGGGCTCCGGGGTATGCAGACCTTTTTGAATTTTTTAAAATCACAGAGTCATAAGTTGTATGTGATTTCTGTTTTTTCTTATTGTTATAAGAACCATTTTATATAGGGGGTTTATATTTATATGTTATTGTGAGGTTATGTTTTATTATATTCGAATCTGATGATAGATTTAACCCTTGTCATACGTCTTTTTTTATCGTATTGAATGGGTACTTTATGCACTATGTACGAAAAAATATAAGTATTTGATGGGGTTTATTATACCCTTATTTTGTATGGAAGGTCCTATTATTTTTGAGTGTTAATCGGTAACATTAACTTTGTGTATTTGTAGGTGTGTTTGTGGGAACCAATGTCTTAGGTATAGTTCTATCATTGAATGTAATATTTTTTAGCTTATTTGCAGACAAGTCATTTAGCGCTTTATTTCTATGTATGATCCAGTTTGTTCTGTACGAACAAGTGCACATACACGTATGTGTGTACATGCATGCGTATATGTATACATATATATATGATTGTAGGACTCGTTCCTACATGTTTTATAATGACTCCGACTGTTTGTTTGGAAGTCGGTTGGTTGGGTTATTTTAGTAGAATTTGTTATATCAATGTGTTACAATGTTTTTTTTTTTTGATGAGGTCAGGGTATGACCATTCATTAGGAAAATTAATGTATGTTATTTAGAACGGGGACTGAAATACGGGGAAGGGGTAGAAGTGTCAGCTGTGTCTGCACTGGCAATAATGATTATTGTAAAAAGAGGGTTTGTAGGTTATGTATATGGTTGTGGGTTATGTATATGGTTGTAATATGGCCATGATCTATGGTGTTCTTTTAAATAGGTATTTGAGAATAATATGCAAGATTTCTAAAAGCTAATTTATTTGCAGTATCATAAAATAAAGTTGAGTGAAATACAGGAGCAATTAGGTAAGAATACATTACTGGAGATAAATGGTAGATGTTTTAAAGTCAAGTGTAAAGTTGTTGCATAAAGAAGGATTTCCGAAATTTAGGGAAAAGCGTGCTGCCTACTGGATGCGGTGTAGTTGATGCTGCTAGGTGCTAGTTGATGCTCCATGTTCATAACAGTTGTTGTTACTACAGATTTTCTTGGGGTTGTTCATAAAATTGTTATAGGAGCACATGTGTTCGGTAGTGTTGGAAACACTGAGTTTAAACTTTATATCCACTCCATCTAGGTTTTATTAAATGATTTCACATATCAAAGTTGAGTTTATTCTCATTCTTACTAAATGTTATTTTTTCATTTCGTTTCCATCTTCCTCTTCACAAACAACATTTGCTTTTTCTTCCACATTTTACTTTCGTCAATTACAATTTCCCTTTTCACTCTTGTTAGTTATCTACTGATTGTTTACTTACGAGCTGGGGAAATACAGAAGTGAGCCTTCAACATGTGTATGAGACAGGTGTTTTGTCAACATGTGTATTAGACAGGTGTTTTGTCAACATGTGTATTAGACAGGTGTTTTGTCAACATGTGTATTAGACAGGTGCTTTGTCAACATGTGAGCAGGTGTGTCGTCAATATGGAGTGAGCAGGTGGGTCGTCAACATGGTGTGGGCAGGTGGGTCGTCAACAGGTAGTGGGCACATGTTAGGGTACAGAGGGTACACTCTACCCACTTGTGCTTGCTGGGAAACATGACGTAGCCTGCAGGAATATTTGTAATTTGAATTAATTTGGTAGGAATGCAAAGATTTTTGTAATTCACAATTTATCATCAATGATAGTAACACACACACACACACACACACACACACATACACACACACACACATACACACACACACACACACACACACACACACACACACACACACACACACACACACACACACACACACACACACACACAAAACACACACACAAATGATAAGGAACAAATAGTCTGGGATGAGTTGAACAGAAACAGTCAGGCATTCCAAGTGAAAGCAATAACATTATCAGAGAGTGAAGAAATAACACTACCAGAGAGTGAAAGCAATAACACTACCAGAGAGTGAAAGAAATAACACTACCAGAGAGTGAAAGAAATAACACTACCAGAGGGTGAAAGAAATAACACTACCAGAGAGTGAAAACAAAAACACTACCAGAGAGTGAAAGCAATAACACTACCAGAGGTAAAAAATAAAAACATACCAGAGAGTGAAAACAATAACATCCCAGAGAGTGAAAGCAATAAACTCCAGAGAGTGAAAATAATAACACTACCAGAGGTGAAAGCAATAACACTCCCAGAGGGGAAAAAAAGCAATAACATATAGAGAATGAAAGCAAGAACACTACCAGAGAGTGAAAGAAATAAAACCCCAGAGAGTGAAAAAAATAACATACCAGAGAGTGAAAGAAATAACACTCCCCGAGAGTGAAAAAAAAACACACCAGAGAGTAAAAAGCAAAAACACTACCAGAGAGTGAAAACAATAACATCCCAAGAGAGTGAAAAAACAATAACATACCAGAGGTAAAAGAAGAACATACCAGAGAGTGAAAAAATAACCTACCAGGAGTGAAAAAAATAACATCCCAGAAGTGAAAGAAAAAACACTCCAGAGAGTGAAAACAATAACACTCCCGGAGTAAAGGGAAAAAAACACTCCAGAGAGTGAAAGCAGAACATACCAGAGAGTGAAAAAATAAAATACCAGAGAGTGAAAACAAAAAACACTCCGAGAGTGAAAGAAAGAACCTACCAGGAGTGAAAAAAATAACACTGCCGAGAGTGAAAGCGAGAACACTACCAGGAGTGAAAGCGAGAACACTACCAGAGATGAAAAGAAAGGCAAGGGAGAAAAAAAAGCATATATACACAACAAGAGACTACTAAACAAAGTTAATCCTGGAAGGCCCAGCAACTTTGCTGGATTTTTCGGTGGTCACCAACACAAGTGAGTGAACCAACTAGCTGTGTATTCCTTGAGTCACCAACAAAAGTGGTAAACCCAAATAGCTGTTGTTCGGGGAGTCACCAAACAAGTGAGTGAACCAACTAGTGTGTTTCGGTGAGCCCCAAAACACAAGTGAGTGAACCAATGCTGTGTTTTCCCGTGAGTCCCCAACACAATGAGTGAACCAACTAGCTGTGTTTTCCCGTGAGTCCCCAAACCCAAAAGTGAGGAACCAATGTGTGTGTTCCGTGATCACCAACACAAGTGGTGAACCAATGCTGTGTGTTCCGTGAGTCTCAACACAAGTGAGTGAAGCACTATTGTGGTGTTTGTTGAGTCACCAACAAAGTGAGTGAACCCAATAGCTGTGTTTTCCGGGCTCAACAAAAGTGGTAAAAGAACTAGTTGTGTTTTGTTTCTTTTTGGTCCCCAACACAAGTGAGTAAACCAAATGCTGGTTTTCCTTTGAGTCCCCAAGACAAGTGAGTGAACCAACTAGCTGTGTGTTCCGTGAGCATAAACACAATGGTGAAGCAATATTTGTGTGTGTTCTGTTGAGTCATCAACAAAAGTGAGTGAAAAAAACTTCTGTGTGTTTCGTGAGTCCCAACACGAGTGAACCAATTAGCTGTGGTTCCGTGAGTCTCCAACAAAAGTGGGGAAACCCAACTAGCTGTGGTTCCGTATCTCAAAACAGTGGTAAAGCAATAGTTGTG